CCATCCATCCATCCATCCATCCATCCATCCATCCATCCATCCATTCATCTATCCATCCATTCATCCATTCATCCATCCAACCATCATCCATCCATTCATCCATTCATCATCCATCCATCCATCCATCTATCCATCCATCCATCCAACCATCCATCCAACCATCATCCATCCATTCATCTATCCATCCATTCATCCATTCATCCATCCAACCATCATCCATCCATTCATCTATCCATCCATTCATCCATCCATCTATCATCCATCCATCCATTATCCATCCTTTTAACAGTCTTTTTTTGGGGGGGCTGTGGGAGGAAGTCAGAGTACCTGGAGAGAACTCACACTCAGGAAGAATGAACCTGGTTACCACTAACAAGATATAACAAAACAATTCTCTCTCTCTCTTGGTTTTAAACGGAGTGAATCTACTTGCTGTGTTTCTAGCCCTACCATCATCCAAAGCTGTTTACACTGAGGCCAGACCAGCTGGCAACTTTGGGTCGAGTGCCTTGCCCAGGGGCACATCAGCAGGACACAGTAGGAGGTTGAATCAACTCACCGTCATTGCAAACCCGTGCTAACACCAAACCCCCATTTTTAAATCTAAAGTGAGAAATAAAACAAACATGCTGCGTGTCTCTGTTGCTCTAATAAAGATTTAAAGACTCCCAGTGCAGAAAAGGGATAAAAATGTTCTTTTGTTTTTTTAAAAAGATGTCGACTTTAGAAAGTGACAAACCTGACAATTGAAACCCAAACAAATGGAGCATTTCTACTGAAAATTGCCGCTGATGATTTGCTTCCTTGTTGCACCTGATGCAGGAACCTTTTTCCAAATTCTGACTTGCATCTAATCCTCGCTCTGTCAACCAAACACTGATGTGCTCCGGTTTGCTCAGATGAAGCTCGGACTCATCCCACCTGAGCAATTACCCACGGCTGAAAATATTCTCAGCAAAGCACACGACAGACCATTCTGATGGGGATGTTTTACATAAGGCTGAGCCTCAGAAAGAAGAGAAAGAAACGAGCAGAAGCTCATCAGTGATTCCTTTTCTTCTCCCTCCTCTGTATGCCTCTCCATCGCTCCCTCCCTCCTGTCTCCTCCCTGCGCTGCCATGCTTCCATCCTGACGGAGAGTGTTAGTTTCTGACTGAGTCACCAAGCTCCGGCTTCCTTTGAAGCCCCCATCCTCTCAGCTTCCCTTCTCTACTGAACCTCCATAAGGGTTTTTAACGTTAGCGTCCACCTTCCTCCCATCCCCCCTCATTTTATTACTTTATCTATTTGTCTGTTTCCTGTTTCTGCAATCATTTATTTATTTTGTCAGTCGTACTTTTTCTTTCCGGCCTGATTTCTTACTCACTGACTCTGTCTAATAGAATAACGCTCATGCGAGGAAAACCTCCTCTGTTTATCCTCCTAACTGCCCTAACTATGACTCTCTTTCTGTTTTTCTCAAAGCGTTCTCATGTGTTGCACACGTCTGCAAATGCAAAATGAAAAAAAAAAATGTCTTAATTTGTTCTGCATCCTTAAATCTCAGGATATGCAAACTTGAATCCACAGGATCCAAGAGTAGTTACACAAAAACATTAGCACTGACGCCCAGAGACATGACTTCTATGATCTGTGTCATGACACACAGAGGCAGCACTTATAGAGCTGGGCATAGAGAGGAAGGGGCTGCTATCCTGGCTGGGAGTGTTTTTAACATGAAATAAAGGCAAAAAAGGTCACCACAGTCCTTAGCAGGCTGCCCACTTATCCTGAAAGCCGACGAGTAATTTGGTTATTTTTATTTCCTTTTTAATAGAAAGTGGCCACTCTTTTATTCCCTCAGGAGATTTTCTCTTTATCACTGAAGAAAGAACGGTTGAAAGAG